AAGAATATTATGAAGTTGATTTCGCCATATAAGGAAATTGCTGACATCAAGTTTAACAGTGACAAGAGAACTAAAATTTGATAAGAGAGAAATAAGATTAGATGGAAGAGAAACAGGATCAGCCATGGATGAATCTGCTCGTGAGAGCTCTAACAAGCTCTGATACCATGTGGAAGATGAAGATTTATTTCATTACTTTCTGCACTCGATGATTACATTACAGTAGAGATGATATTTATAACTAACTAACACTAACTAACTAATTCACTAACAAACACTTCTAACTAATTAACAAACTTTACAACTGTTACAGATATTATAATGAGGACTGCTATCAATACAGGATTGTGATAGACAACATATCAATGCTGATTCTGATGCAGTTGAACTACTGCTGTGACTGATGAGGCTTGGACTGAGTGAACTGATGAAGCTTGGACGGAGGGATCTGTGGAAATGCAGAGTTAGTTACAGAGGCAGTTACTCAGTTACAGAGGCAGTTACAGATAAAATCTTATCAAAAATGGATGATCTATTTTTAAAAATATATTTGTCGTCCATTTTCTTATAGATAAATATGATAAATTGAATATGTTACGATTATCAGATCAACCTAATTATTTTATAAATAATATACACGAAGAATCAAAATATATGATTCAAATTGTTAAAACATGACTTGTGATGGACACCATAAACCCAGACAACATTCCTTAGTTCAGATCTTTAAAGCCCCTTTAATTAATCCACTTTTTCATTTTTCTTTTTTTGGAACTATTAATTCACTTTTGTTAGTTGGTCCGTTTGACATGGAGAGTAACATCATTTATTTTATTTTATTTGGCAGTTTCCCAAAAACACATCAAATTTGTTTGGAGTAATTTTTTTTTATATATATAAAAAAAACCCATTTTTAGAATACCAAAATGTTGTTTTTTACATTTCGTAAACTGTTTTTTTGCATATAAACAAAAATGGTTGATATTTTCAAACGTTTTATTATTTTTGTTTCAAAACCAAGTAAAACAAAAACAATAATAAACAAAGCAATACATAGAAGATAAAGGGAAAAGGAAAACCATCCAAGCTGATTTGCTTATAATTTCACATGCAATAGAAACCCATGAATGCATTAGAACTTTTTTTTTCCTTCTTCTTTTCCTTTTCGTTTTATTATTACTATTATTTTTGGGTGACTTTTTTGGCAAAGGCATTAGAATGTGAAATAAGAAGAAACTGCCTAAGATATCATTATTATCCATAGAGAAAACAAATTGCCATACTCAAGTAGCAAGTGGAATCTCATGATCTCTTTCTTTGTCCTTTCACCTCCTTTTCTTTTTTCCTTTTTTGCTTTCACAAAATTCTACTCTTTGTCTGGATCTCTTATTTTTCTTCATGGAGGTTCATGTCATGAAAAAATATTGAGCTCATAGTGACGCCATCTTATAGGGCATTACTCACCAATAAAATATCACAAATAGAATTAGGCAGATACTCTTTTTTTGTTTTTGGAGAGTTAAATCCATTAAGGATAAGCCAAATGGAACTTATAATGGATTCCATGCCAACAAAATAGAGCTTACACTAAACAAAAGAAAAATGAGTAAAGAGGCACTTAGGCAGAGCCGAAATAGTATCAAAGACATGATTCTACAAGATCCTAACTCGTACTGCAATGCAGAAGCGATTATAAAAGATCAGCACTAGGGCTAGTCAGAGATACCACAACAGCTTCCACCCCAGAGAGGGTAAGCCACCAATATTACATCCATGGAGTCCAAACAAACAAAAAAACAGAACAAAGACAAAAACAAAAACAAAAACAAAAAAGCAAGCCAAAGCATAGATCTGGGAAGGAAGAAACCAGGTATGGTGGAGGATGGGCCGCGGTGTGGCAGTGGTATTGTCTGTAGCAAGAAGCGGCGATGGGCTTCGATGGGCATCAGATCTACTTGTGATGTGGTGGTGGCGGCAAAAAGTGGTGAGACGAGGCGAAGAGGCGACATATCTAGTTCCGGCAAAGAGGGAAAATGAGGAGAAAACTCAAAAATCTCCACCCTAGAGAGAAGAAGCACCTCACAAGGAGGGAGAGATTGGGAATGATGATCTTCCAAGACTTATTTTGCAAAAAAGTAGAACGAAAAAAGGGGGAGAGAGAGAGGAGAGAGGTGACCAAAGAGAGGTCGGAGCCCCCTTCCCTTCCCAAACGGCGCACTGCTATTTGTTTGGCAGAGAAAAGTTTTAGAAAGAGCAAGAGAGATCTCTTGTCCTTCAAAAATAGATAGATACTTTTTCTTTTTCATTAACACTACAACATATAAGAGTTTTAGAAACTAATTTTTTTGGTCTTTAAAGGTAAAAATTTTGTTGCAAAAGACATTTAGAGACCAATTTTTATCGCCGTACGGATAGTCGTTAAAAGGTCGTCGCAAAAAATAAAAAATAAGACTTTTAGCGATAAAATTTTGAAAATGTCAGTAATAAATAGACTTTTAGAGACAAAATAATTTGGTTTCAAATGGTTTATATTTTGAGACAAAAAATTTGGTTCCAAAAGGATAATAATTCATCACTAATGTTCAATTTTCATTGTTAAAAATATAATGACGACACTTTTTGCAATAAAAATATTTTGTTTCTAAAAATAGTTTTACCCCTAAATTTTGGACTCTAAAACCTTAATTTTGGTCTCTAAAACCTTAATTTTTGGTAGTGTAATCTTACTACGGATAGAGGGTTGCTGTTGTGCGGCCTAATGGGAATTTGTTTTGGACTTATTTTGATTATACAAATTGTTCATATATTATAAGGTTCGTCGAGTATATCATCTATGAAAAGAAAAAGTCAATTGAAAATTTGTAACCACACAACAAGAGCACATTTATAAAATAAAACAAAAAATAAATGGTTAATATGATTTTGATAATTTTTTAAAAATAATTAATACTTGATCATGGGGCTACAGATATTCAATTAATCTGATTTTTTTCATAAATAATATGTTCGTTGAACCCTATAATATGAACGGTTTAAATTATCAAAATAAACTCACAAGTCCTCATAGCAGAATTAATGTGCCTAAACCAATATTAAATTTTGGAAAAATTACATATTAGCGTATTTTTAAAAAAATATCAACATTAATAATTATAATTATAATTTTTTAATATATCTGTAATTATTTTTTATAAAATACACTGAATTGAAATTGTTCCTTAAAATTTTCATTATTTAATATTTACTTCATGCAAGCATGGACAAAAATAGGGAATGGAGTAGGTAGATGAATAGGTAACACTTCCCTCACAATATGCAAAACATTTACCCATCAAAGCTAGTATAGTGTAGGTTGACTTGAAAAACAAATGTAGTGGGGGCATGATTTTGGGGCTACAAATTGCATTTCCACCAACTTAGTAGTGACAGTGGGGCTAGCATTGCTAGTAGGTGGAGACATTCACACCCCACATGTTAAAAAGCATACATAAAGCCATCATTAAAGGCACAAACCAAAGAAAAAAAAGCATTAGATCATAATCAAAACTAATAAGGGTACCCTCCAAATTGCCATGATCTTGTTTATTTTGTTTATAAAAACTAAAAAGATAATATATATACATACATATATATATATATATATATATAATATAGATTGAACGAATATATCCAACATAATAAAATAACTGAGGTTTCGTTTGTTAATTATATATTTTTGTCAAAAAATTAAACAGTCATTATAAATTATCACATCACTCTCTACTTTTCTGCATATTTTTTTGTAAAAAATTAAAAAATTACTAAAATAAAATATTCCCAAATGAGGCCTAAATGGTATATTATGCTCTTTATGTCTATAATTTATGTAGAAAATTTGGACTTTTAGGAAAACTTTTAATTTATGAGTCAGGTGCATACATGTTCTTTGGTATATTCTATTTTGTAATCTCTTTGTTGCCGTCTATTTTATATGGTTAAATTATATTTATCTTACACTTTTCTTTTCTTTTCTTTTTCTTTTCAACTGTGACAATTAATTCTTTTAATTTTTTGTTAATTTGTGACAAGACTGCTTCTATTTAAGAAATTGACAGTAAATAATCATGTGACGATTATGTGCAATTGTCACAATATTATTTTCTGTCAACTTCTTTGGTGGAGATTAACGACGTTGTGACATGATCCAAAAATTAAATCACAATTAAAAAGTTAATAAATAATCGGGAAGTGAAATAGAATATGAAACCGTAAGCTCCCAAGCAGTGGGAGGAGCCCGGGGCTCTAACAACGTGCCTGTTGAAGAAAGAGAAGAAATGTAGAACGGATTGCTACCTATGCCTAGATCGCCGATAAATGGAAATTTTATTGATAAGACCTTTTCAATTGTAGCTAATATTTTATTACGAATAATTCCGACAACTTCAGGAGAAAAAGAGGCATTTAAGTGAGACACATTAAATAAGAGTGCAAAATGTAATGAAAAATGTTTAAATTTTTTAAAAGGACCAACGATAACATAATATCTTATTAAATTTTAAATTTTAAATTGTGAATTTTGAATATTTTTAAACTATAGGCTTCGTTTGGGGGCAATATATTTTAGTTAAAAAGTTAAAATGTCAAAAAGTTATTATAAATTATCATATTATTTTTTTTTTTACATCTTTTTATAAAAAAATAAAAAATTATTAAAATAACCTGTTGCAATCTAAATATCTAATTTACTTGTTTAACGGAGATGGGGATCTGAAATTTTAAATTGTGAATTTTGAATATTTTTAAACTATAGGCTTCGTTTGGGGGCAATATATTTTAGTTAAAAAGTTCAAATGTCAAAAAGTTATTATAAATTATCATATTATTTTTTTTTTTTTACATCTTTTTATAAAAAAATAAAAAATTATTAAAATAACCTATTGCAATCTAAATATCTAATTTACTTGTTTAACCGAGATGGGGATCTGACCTGAGCAAATATACCATTTATATTTATTGGTGCTTGATAAGTCACCTCTCTGACTGTTAAAGTTTTTTATGTCATTGCACCAAAGTCCCTGAATATTTGACCAAGGATTTGTCTTCTCTGGGCTCTTGGTCATTATTTTATGAGTTCATTCAAAGCAACCCTTCATAAAAGCACCAGTTTTGTGAATTGGGTTGGTTGAATTGAAAGCAACTGATCAGTACACAAATGGGTTTTCTCCATCTTTGAAATCTTTGATGAAAAAGCTTCTTCAGGTATTGTTGTGAATCATGAATTAGGGTCTGTTTGGTTGTGATTTTTTTTCTCTCTAGTTTTTTTCAGAAAAATACATTATCTTTGTTTGTTTGGAGAGGGAGTGCCATGTGGTGAGCTCAGAGGTCTGCACATGGCTTCTCTTGTTTCCAAGTTTTGAGGCTGTAAACAGATGTAGAGACGCTAGGGTTTTGGATTTTTCAATGGAATCCGTACAGAAGAAGACCAGCAGATTGTGTTAGATAACAAAAGCCCAGTTTTCTAAAAACAGTGGAGGATTGGGAACTGTGAGTCTTTGATAATAAACAAAGACAACACAATTTAGTTGAGTCCACGTCCAAATATTTTCATCACATTCTCTCTCTCTTTTTTTTTTAATTTGTTTTTGGCTTTGCAAACCAGTGCAGCTCTATCTGTTTTCCCAAATCTCTAAGCACAATACACCTTCAACTCAAATTGGGCTTTTTCTTTTCTCCCTACTAGTTCATTCCCTTTCCACATACATATTTATAGGGTATCTTTAGAATCTGTTGAAATCCACTATGTACCTTTCCTTTTTTTTCCTTCTCTCCCATGTGCCTAATTTGTGAGCAAAGATTTAGAGATTGAAGGTTTCAAACTTCTCCTTTTGTCTCACTTTCAATCTTTAATTTGTCAATCCAAACTTGATTTGTCTATCCATATCATTGTCTCAGTGGAAGGCCTAAACGATGGAATCTGACAAAAATGGGGCTTAGGTTAGGTCACAACATAGTTGTGAGTTTTGCTTATTTGGCACTTTCGAAAGGAATTTGACTAAAATCCAGCGCAGGTCATGTCAAAGTTTGTGAATTTTGCTCATTTGGTAGTTTCGAAAGGAATTTAACCAAAATTCAGCGTAGGTCACAACATAACTGTGAGTTTTACTCGTTTGACAGTTTTAAGGTAAATCCGACAACGTTGTCCCAAGCCGCCTTGCATATCCTTTTCTTCATATACTTTACCAAATCTTTAGTTTAGCTTCTCTTCATTGCTCTCACTTCAATTTCTTTCAATCAAATAAATATTTTTCCTTTCTTTTATTTATTTATCATATTTCATAATCCATGAATGTGAAAGACACATCTGAGAATCAAATGGCTTGTTCCACATGTTTCTTCAAGAACCCATTACCATGGATTGCTGTTCTTGTCCCAGTTATAGTCTCTGCTTGTTTTCTAGGTTTTGGGTTCTTACCTATCCTCATCACAACTTCATTTTTGATCATCATATCTTCCATTTTCTTTACCTCAAGACACAAAACAGTGCCTGATGAAATGGAAAGAACATCTGTGAAAGAAGATGAGTCTCTCACCATTGATCAAAAATGTTCACCAGATCAAGTGGAGGAAATTGAATCAGAAGAACTAGAGATTGAAAGTGAGACCATCACACAACAACAGATCAAGAAAGTCCAAGAAAGTGAAGTGGGTCAGACACAGACTCATGACTGCATAGTGGTGGGAACAGTATTGGATTCATTTTCAGAAAGTGAAAGCATTGATGATGATCAGTACTCATCTACAACTGATCAAGATTCTGAGGCTGACTGGTCATATTCTGGCAATGTGGGTCAGAGCCCAGATTGCTCTGATCACTCGATTTCCGATGAGGAAAGCCTAATTGAGATTGCCCTTCCAAGTGGACACTATGTTGGTTTTGAGAAAGAAGATTCAATTTCAAAGTGTGATTTAGGGCAGAAGTTTCCGGATTTGTCGGCACAGCCGGAGTTGATTTTCAAGCAGCATAGTCTGATGGAGAGGTTAGCAGAAGGTAATGAGATGAACGAGGAAGACAATTTGATTGAGATTGACATATCCATGGGCTCCATCAAGTGCTCAAGGTTTGAGATTGAAGCTTGATCAGTTTTACTGTTTTTTTTTAAGTCTCTCAAGTTCAAGGTTTTTGATCCTTTGTGGATTTGGTGTTGATTAAGATTAGGGTTTGGGTATTTGGATCATTATGTGCATTACTTTGTTGTGCTATGGTGCAATGAATTGTGAAGTTTCTACTCTTTCATTGTCCTTGTACTTATATGCCTTTATACGTTATGAGATCTTGTATCTTTAAATTTATCTGTTTATCATTTTCAATGCACTCCAGTTATACGATTGTATTTTCGAAATTCTATATCATAAGGTTGTCAATGCATTAAAAAATAAAAGAACACAGAATCTTATTCCAATCCGGTACTCTCATGTTTGTAGGACCATGAGGCTCATTTTGGTATCTATTTCATTTGGTAGGTTTCTATGTATAGATCATCTATAAAAATAATCAATTTGATTGAATAATTATAATTATATAATTTTAACATATTATTTATAAAAAAAAATGAATAGTAAATTAACGATATGGAACTAATAATAAATCCCACAAATCTAATAATAACGAATTGAATTTCTCTCCAACTGGATAGAAACAGGATATAAAAATTTTGAAATAGAAGATCCTGACCCTTCATTCAAGCTTTGGATACCCTTAAAAGCACAAGTACTAGGCATGTCCCTTTATTTTCTCTTAATGCATATTAAAGTAGTGAAAGTTTAAAAAGGCATGGCTAAATACATGGAATTCCACTTGCATTTCCTCATCACTATCCTTCTTTTTTGTTGTCCATTTGGCTTCATTCGCTGTTTCAGACTTGACATTAACTGGATCTCATAATACAATTCAGTTTGAAGATCTAACTCACATGTTTGGTTATTATAATGTGTAAATTACACTTTATCCTTTTATGCTTGATCAGTTCTTCATTTTGATTTTTAAAATTTATTTGTTTGTTTGTTTATTTTTTTTTTCATTTTGACCTTTACATATTTCAAGTTTTTCTCAGTTTATTCTTAAAATTATTTTCTGTAGATAAATTATAACACATTAGCAGTCACATGGTATAAAATTATTTTATTATATATAACTTACACATCTGATATAAATTTAAATTTCAATATAATATATTTTTTTATATTATGTGATAGTTATCATGACATTTTCTATCTAATTTTGAACAAAAGTTAACTTTAATAATAAATTAAAAAAAACTTGAAACATATAAGATTAAAATGAAAAAAAAAAAAAAAACTTTAAGAGACTAAATAAAAAAAAATAATCAAACAGAAAAAGGCAAAATATAATTTACTCTATTATAATTAATGGATTAGATTGTAAGATTTATACATTTGGATTGGTACATTTGCAGTGAATCCATGAAAGTTTACAAACTATCCAATCTTGAAATTAATGCTTTGTGACCAGTTTTTTTGGCCTCTTATTTGGATTCTCACAACAAATGACACGTGTATACGTAGGATCTATTACATCCACAAAATAAAGGAATCTATCGTTATTTTTTGAATAGTTGAATTCTCACAGGTCCCATGACCTTTGGCCAAAAAAAATGTCATATATTTCTCTCTATATATATATGCTAGCGTATACCCGTACCTAAAGGCACAGTGTAAATAATGTTAGAATTATAATATAATTATAATCGTAACACTATTTAAATTTAAAATAAAAATGCAATTATAAAAATATATTTAATAGACTACACTCTACAATTCAAAACAAATCAAATATAAAATAATAATAATAATAAATATCTAATAATGCACACCAACCAGTATTCTGTAATTTAAAAGAAATTAAAATTAAAATACACACCAGTTAGTATTACTGCTGCCAATCAAATTCTAACTACATAAGAAAAACAAACATGAGTCTTTGTAAACAACAAAGACCAAAGCTTGGATCTAATACTTAATGCACCCCTCAAATTCCTCCCCCCCAAAAAAAAGTCATTCCCAAAACACCCAAATATATATATATATATATATATTCAAGAGGTTTCAGAAAAATATAGTCAATCTCACACTTTTGACATAATTACATTGAATTTTCTTGTAATAAGGCTAAAAGACAAAAACTAATGCAGATGAAATATCAATTTTCATTCATATAACTAATGAATTACTAATAAAAAAAATGTTCTAACTATTATATGAATTAAAACCTCAACAGAAACCAGTGTAATTATGTTAAAATTGTAGAATTAATTGTAATTTTTTCTAAATTTCAAAAGAAATGAGTGTAATTTATCTTCTTTTTTTTTTTTATAAATAAAATTCGACATATAGCAACCCTCAAAAAAATAATTTATGTTTCTAGTAAATTTTTTCTGCAAACCTCATTGAGGTCAAGATGACTGCAGCAAACAGACTCTCCCTAGTCCCTTCTCTTTTTCTGTTACAAACCTTATTCTCCTCAGTTCTTATTGAATTTTCATAGCCCTAATTTCTATGACATCCATAGCCGTCAAGATGGGTTTCAATTGAATTTTATAACTATGTTCAGATTCTTGAAATAGGCACGAGATAAATCCTCAGTGGGCTGCACAGTAATACCCTGTCTCCATCAAAATAGAATATAGTATTGATTGAACATTTCACCCCTAGCAGGGTCAATGATGGATAGGGGGAGGGGCGGCTACGGGCACAAGCATTGTCTCCAAATTCCGAAAATCTCTCATCATAGTGTTAAATAAAATATTTTCAAATAATACAGATTTGTCCCCATTGTTTTTTTTTTTTTTTTTTTTTAAATTTAGTCAAAATATTTTCATTGAACCCTTGTTTGGTAAAAAGAAAAGTCTAATTTATTTTTCTTCATAAACCCCAAAGAAAAAAATACATAATTAAATAAGGATAAAGTAAAATATATATATTGTGGTAGCTGAATACATGAAACCGTGTCCTGGGCTGGCACAATGCGAGTTGACAGAACACGCTGAATCCATGGTCACAGATAAATCGGCTAGATAAAGTTCAGTGGGCCAAAGTCGAATAAAAGCAGGCTTAAAAAGGTCATTTGAACCAATTATCCCATGGGCTACATAGATGGTCCACGAACGGGGCCAAAGCCCATTAGGAAACAGTGGACCCTTGGAAGGTCACTAGGGAAACAATATAAAAGAAAGGAGAGGAAGATAGAGAGAGGGATCTATTCTTGGACAATAGAGTATTCCTAAACCCATTACACCACAATTGGTGCCGTCTATGGGAATACTCGAGCTCGTTCATGACAGACATAACAGATAATCCTCCATTGGTGGCTGATGATGTTACACCAAGAACCATGCTTGGCTTGGAGAACATTACTGCAAGAAGAGCTTTGAATTTTGACGCAGTAACTCAGTCTTCACCTTCGACCTCGATGCAGGAAACCATGTAGATGATAATGGACCAGGCAAAACGAAACAAACAATAACTGGAAGAGATGGCAGCTGACAACGAATGATTACGTAAAGAACTGGCTCTAGAATTAGCCAAATCTTAGCAGACCCCACCGTATCTCGAACGAGCCACGACGTCGACACCGGAGGCATGAAAGTAACACCGCCTCCGACTCGTCAGCTCAAGAACCCAGAAAGAATGAGTGCATTGGCGCCTCTAGCTCATCTAAAGGGAGTCCATACGTACGGCACAGAAAAGAAAAAGGTAATGATTCGGACGAAGAAGATAGATATAATCCTTTCACACAACGAATTGCAAGGGCCGTCTTGCCTAAAAAATTCAAGGCATTGACATTTATGTTGTACGACAGTAAGTCAGATCCTACGGATCATATTCGCCATTACAAGCAGGCAATGATATTGCACGTTGACGATGAGATGCTTATGTGTCGCATGTTCCCAAGCAGCCTGGGTCCATTGGCGGTCCGGAGGTATTATAAACTCAAACTGGCCTTAGTCAAAAGTTTTCATCAGTTCCAAAAATCCTTCCGGGCAAGGTTCATCACCAACGAGGTTCAATTAAAACAAGCCAACTCACTCTGGGCGATGCAAATCAATCCAGAAGAAACCTTCCGTGAGTATTCAGCACATTATTGGGAATGCTTCAACTTGGTTGACGACGCCTGCAATGATTCCATGGCCATCATTGCCTTCAAGATGGTTTACACCTCGACAGTCTGCTCCGGAGCTCATTGACAAGGCGGCCTTCTAAAATCGTGTGGGCCTTGATGAAGAAGGTTGAGGAGTACTGTAACGTAGAGGATGATGCACTCCGCATCAAGGCAAGTCAAAAGGTCATGGAGACGGCGACACCAACTCTGGTGCAGTCGATAAGCGTAGTTCCGTCGCAAGCAAGCCCTGAACCACGAAGTAGGCCAAAACGAGAAAGTCGCCAAGACAACCGCCGATCAAGGGACCAGTGTTCATGTCGATCGAGTGAACAATATCAGGTGGAGAGCAGGTGTCCCAAACGGTGTGACAAAAAATATACCGAGTTGATCAAGCCGATCAGCAAAATAGTACCCAAAGTTCAACACCTACCCTTTTTTAAATGGCCGACCAAGATGATTAGGCCCCCCGACGCAAAGGCGAAGGGATCGGCGGTGTGATTACCACAAAGATCATGGGCACGAAATCGACAGGTGCTACGTCTTGAAAGATCATCTCAAAGAGTTGGTGTAGGATGGCCGACTGGGTCAATACCTCCCACAAAAGGTCAATACGCCCAACGCAGTAGCCTTACGTTGGAGTCACCACCACTGGGAGTAATTTATATGATTTATACTCTTCTATCACCAAATAGTGTCCATGTGATTCAGTCTCCGTAATGTCAACCATGCTTATCTAAGCCACTCACACCAGCCAAACGACCTCATTCAACTGGCAAGATTAGCTTCAACGACACAGATCTCGAAGGGTTGGTCCTTTCCCATGACGACCCTCTCATTATCAAGTTACGCGTTAACAAATTTGTTGTTAAAAGCATTTTGATAGATCAGGGGAGCATATCAGAGATAATTTACGACAAGACTTTTCTTAAACTTGGCTTCACAGCATCAGACCTCATGTCGGTAGAGTACCCCCTGTTCGGCTTCAACGCGAATCCCAAATACCCTTTGAGCAAGGTCAGGATCGCAGTGCGTGTAGGCACTAGAACACTTGACGTGGAGTTTCTAGTCATAAAACTTCCATCGCCATACAACTTGATCATGAGAAGAACTTGGTTGCATGTAATGCAGGTCATACCAAGTATTTACCATCAGCTACTTTGCTTCCCAACGCAACACGACATTGAGCAGATTT